TGTATTTAAAGACAAAATAACGTGAACGTTGAAATTTTTTTAGGTTTACAAGGATGTTATTACGACTGGTAGATGTAAAATTTAAAAGACAAACTACCTCCTACAGAGATTGCATTTCATTTTATGGCATTCACCTGATAGCTTGCAATCCTCAGTTTGGAGTTCATTCAGCAGTATTAAAAAGTCAGCTTCTGAACCTGAGTGCCCAAAAACCACACACATGTAAAATCGCACCCACAATCTCTGAGAGCTCATTTCCACTCCTTCACTGTAAAACCTTAGGGTTTGAAAATGAAACAACTTTCAAGCTTTAAAAGTGAAATTCACTTCACCTGCATGAAATCATAGTTATCAAATTTTTTATGGGTGAAGTATAGCAGGGGAAAGGGAGGAAAAAATTTACACTCCAGAAGTGTGGGTTCAAGTCAGGAGGTCCCACACAGTCCTTTTCCCTTCTTCCCTCTCTTGCAGCTGCTCCTTTTTCTGGCCTATTGAGAGTATCAGCAGCTGGAATTCTTCAATGCACATGAAAAGCTAGGACACTTGAGAGCTCAGACTGCCTACAACCAGGAGCTCTTTCTCCAGCTCACTGTCTTTCCTGTCCCCCTGGGCTCCCATCCATCCATACTTACCTTGAGACTTGCTTGGGGTTAGTTGCCTGACTAGTTGAACCATTTAGGTCAATACAGAGCTCCTGAAGGCTGGAAGAGCTTTTCCAGTCAATTAGAGATTTAAACTCAAGGTGGGTCCCTTAAAACAAGCAGGATAATATGAAGTGGCAAAATGACTGTAACTGGAGAAAATCTGGGACTGGTGCTAGACGAAATTGTTGGGATTCACCAGCAATGGCAAAAGCAAACCCAGATTGTCTAAAGTAGATTTCAATAAATTGCATTAATAGAGACCTTCGACAGCAGTAGGGTGAAAACTGGACATTAAAAGGATGTGTGCAAGAGGTGCTATCAGAAATTAAATAAATAGAGGTTGGTCTATGGATGTAAAAATGTCATGTCTTTATGGGAAAGTATCATTAGATGAAACTGGCTGTTACCATTGCCAGAAGGGACTTGCAAATATTGTAATTAAAATGCAGAGATTCTTTTTATCCATCTGCAAATACACAACTTTTAAATAAGGTACAAACTCTGAGAGCTGTCAGAAGTACAAATGCTATCTTTGCTACGGGATGGAAATTGCAGGAAAGCCAAGGAAAAAATATAAATTACATGTGCATGAATCTGATTTTAGAACATTACTGAGATGAGATAGTGTTAGATAAGATTTGCAAAGGCTGCAATTGCTGGTGAAATCCTGCAGAAATAAATTCAGACTGGGAAGGATTGTACTGGATTGTCATTCTGGTTTAGCAGAGTGGTAGTTCCTGAATTGTTGTAGGAAACTATGCTATGAAGAATATATTAATGTAATTAGTGGAGGAAACAAGATAGAAGTGATGTTTTATAATAGTCTAAGATGAACAGTGACATTAGGAAAGCAGTGTTAGATGTATGCCAAAATTCAGGTCAAATTAAGCAACAATTTTCATGATGTGGTACAGGAAAATTGGCTCCTGGGAACAAAGTAACTGTAGATTTGTGCATGTTGGCTGGAAAAAAGTCTCTTCAGCATTTCCTAGACCATTATTCTTGCTTCTCTGAGGTGGCCTCGCTTAAAGAAACTACGAGTGATTGTGTATACCCAGTTTGACTTTGCTACGTACGTTTTACTTGTCCTGGAAGTGTTTGAGTGTAACTGTCTGTAGGGCACAGAACATGATTTTGAGTGCTTCATAAAAAAAACCAGGCTTTTAAATACACCTTCTCATTTACATGACCCCCTATGACAGGTTCTTGGGGGAATGATATTGGAATTATAAAATGTCCAAGAAAACAGTTGTGGAGTCAGACACTGATCACTGTTTAGCCCTTTGATGATAGAAAAACATAGAAGCCAGTTCTGTGGATGCTGCCATGGGAGACCTGTTTCCCTTTAATCACTAATACTAATTTTTCAGACATTTTGATCTGGACAGTGCACTTGCCAGGCCAGCAATTGGTATTGCTGGTGGTTCTTCTAGTTGGGCAAGGAGAAGTTGTGGCTGAAAAGATGTGGCTGAAGTTGTGGCTGAAAGATGAGGAAGGCAGTGTCATCTCTAATACCAAAACAATTTAGTATGCACAGCCTGGCACTGCCTGGGGTAAAAGATGAGACTCTGACACAGCAGCATTTCAAAATGTGTGCTTCATTTGTGAACACTTACAATGACTTTTAACTGATATCCTGGGAAAATTACCAAATGAAACAATGGGTTTAATCTTGGGGGACTAATACCAAGTGTGGGATTTAAATTTTAGTTTCCTGAATTTACATCTTTTTTTTCCATGTCTTGCTTCCTTCTGTCATTTTTAACAAACACTTAGACCATGTGACAAAATCCCTGGTGCCCAAGTTTCAGTTCCACACAGGGTTAGCAGCTAACTTAGACCCTTACATGACTTACAATAATTTGGAGAAATGTTGGTGTGTTTTGAGTAACTAATGATTACATTACATAATTCTGCAACTGATGGTGCTTATAATCAATTTACATTACATATTTAAGTAAGAAAAAGTTTGTAGTATCAGAGAGGAATTAAGTGAAACATTTTGCACCTAAATTATATTCTTTCACAAGCAAAATAGAAATATAGCTATCTGTGAAGATAAAGAAGATGTTCAAAATAACTTTTAAAAGTATCTTGCATGTTGATAAAGTCAATAGTTGTTTTTATTATATGTTACCATTAAGATTTAAGCTAAAGTTTTCACACCTGCAGGCTATGAAATAAGTACCTATACAAAAGAGTACTGCTACTTGCTCCAGACATTGCCAGAATCCTCAGCATCAAATACTCAGTCTTGGATCAAAGGCTCAGCAGTTACACATTTGTCAGTTCTTCCCTGACAATAGTGTTGCAGAGAGAGTGCAGGGGACCTTCCTCATGGTTGTGCTGTTCTCTTCACCTGTACCTTATTAGAGGAAAAAGGTTCCAGCACGAGATGCCAATATTTTAAGGAATGTAACAGACCTTTTCATCTGTGGAAGTATTTCCTGCTCTACATTCTCTGATACAGCCTGTGGTTCAGAGACAGTCCTGGGTAAAGACTGCATTTATGATATTTTCTAGCTGTGTTCTCAGTGTAGAAACTTCAACATTTAGCCTCCAGCCTAGCTGGATCAGTTGATGGTCAGTCCATACATAAATTCTTAGATCTTTTCACAGATGAAATTTTGAATGGTTGGGTTTTTAGTTATGGTAGAGTGGGCTGGAATTTTGTTTTTTGCACTTCCATCTCAAAGTCATTGCTGTTTTCCCAGTAAATTGTTTTCTGCTTAGTCCTGCTGCATAGTTGGAAAATAAAGGGAAAGTTGTTATAATGCTTTGGCCCCAAATATGGTAGTCTCGTTTTTAGGAATCTTCACAAGAACATACCCACTCTGGTGGCTGCTGTTATCTCCAGAGAATATCAATATGCCAATAATCCCATGCTGATTTTTACTTCAGAACTTTACCGAAGATTTTAAACCCTAGGAAGGGTGCCTGTGTGGTCCTGCATCCTTTTCCTGAGTATAAGCATTATGCACTTCATACAGCAACGTGCCACGTGTGAAATTGCCTTTTGTTACAATTTATATTTCTTAGACTATGAAAAAAAAAAAATCCTGGTGGTATCCTTCACCCCAGAGAGCCTTTTGTGTGCAAAGGGGTCGTGTTGCAGAGCATGGACTGGCACAGCCTTACCTTGACACACACCCAAAGGGGTGAGGTGTACATCTTGGAAGCGCTGCTGTGCATCTTAGGGCTCCATCCTGTCCCGGCAGGTCTGCCATCACAGGATGTGCTGGCTGCTCAGGGCTCTCTTAAACACAAACTCTGTATGGGAGTGTCTGGATGTCCTCAAATAGCTCATCTACTTTTCAGGAACAACTTTTTTTTCCCCTAATAGTGCTTTTGAAGATTAAATAAGTGTGAAATAGCCATTTATATGATTCCTGTCTATAAAAGATGTTATCTGCCTGCTGAGCTTCCCTCCCCTGTTTGCTAATGGGAGTCAAGTCCTTCAATTCATGGTGCTAAATTTACTGTAATTAATTATATCTCTGTTCCAGTGGTGTCTTTGTAATGGGTAATAATTGCATGCTCTACATAGACAGATGTTCCTTCATTACTGTCCCAGGCGTGCCTAGGCTGGGATATGAATAAACTCACAGAGGTGATTGAAGACTGAAGATTCAGCCTTATATTGCAGCAAGGAATCAGACCACTACTTCATTTTTTTTTTAGGAACTTAATTCTTTTTTTTAATATTTCTTTTCATAGGCTAAGAAGTACAAAATGCAACAAAAAACAATTTCACACATGACACGTTGCTGTAGGAAGTGCACAATGCTTATACTCAATAGATACTGTACAAGAGAGTTTTACAAAGCCATTACCATTAGAGGTGTTCAGGGGTAGCACAATACTGGTTGATTTCGTTCCCTGCTTTGTTTTGCAGAGAGATGAGCGGGAAATGAATTTCTGTACCACTGAATACTGTAGATTTAGTATCTAGATATCTAGGTTTTTAGGTCAATTGCAAAATTTCCATCTGAAACCTGTTTCTTAGAATACCTCAACAGTATAATAATTATCTCCTGTTACTGTTAAAGAAAAATACCAGCATGGCATGTCCAAAGCTCATGGATGACAGACTCTCGGTTCCCCTGGCAGGGCAATGAAATCCTCCCTGGAGCCATGTAGGGCTATTGATCACTGCCAGAGCAAACCATGGCTGTGCCCATGACTGGACCTGTTTAAGTGAGTGAATTATGCTATTTGCTGCACATGTAACTTGCTTTCTAGTGAGCAGATCCAGTTAGGACTAAAGATCCCTCAGTGATTTTCCAAAGTTTGTTGCCAGTTTCGTAGATCAGCTTATATGTCACTCAACTTGTTTCTTCATTTCTTTGATTGTAGATCAGGGGACTCGACTTGTCGTCAACTGCTGGTAAAAAGCACTACACAGAACTAGATGCTCTTCTAATTAACATGGAGTATGACATCTGACCATGAAATCTACTGCTGAAAAGTAGTATGCAAAACTAGGTGCTTATATAATTAACATTGTTTATTCAGTTTGTACAAATAAAAATAACTATTTGCATTCTATATCTTACAATGGTTCTCAGTGGTAGAACTTTAGTGTTATTAAAGAACACTCTGTAAATATATTTAAAGTTGGGGTTTTTTCCCCTTAACATACTTGAACCATACTTGATGAAAAGGAAGGATTTCTGGGCTGTGTCTTGTATACCAAAGAGAAATCTGGAAAACAGTTGTTAACATTTTAAAATGCAGTTATGAACTCTTGAAAATACGAGCTTTCCCTGAAGTTTGGCAGGAGAGCATACCCTTTTACTAATCTGGCTTGCAGATGATTTTGTGTTTATTAAGCTCAAACACTGTATTTTTGAAATTTTTAAGTGGTGAAATGCCTGTGTTTTTAGCCCTGTAGCTATACTTCTTGAGATTTATTTATTCACAGAGATTTCTCTTTCAGTTTTGAAAATGTAACTTATATTTCTTATATTTGCTAAAAGTAGAATTTCAACATGATATTTAGGGGAGAAAATGTCTTCTTTAAGGCTGTAAGAGAATTACAAGTTTAAATTTGTTTAGCCTCTCAAGGGATGTTTCATCAGGCTTGTATATTTGCCAAGTATTTTCTACATAAAAGACTCGACTTGCATCTCTTCTCTCCTGGTGTTGTGGGGAGACTGCTGCATTATGGAAACTGAACATTTTGGATATGATATTTTCCAATATCTAATCAAATTTTCAACCTGTCCATATGAATATAACCTAAGTTGTTTTTTCCTGTTGGCCAGGAGTCATTACCAAGAGCTAAATAACAAAACTCCTCCTTTGGGAAGCATATAATCCGTGGAGGGTTTCAGAGAGATCAAAAATGGCATTTTTCCAAGTCTCATACTACAACATTTGGGAGATACTTGGATTAAAAATGTGCTTAGGTGGTGTAAGTACCAAGGAACCAGGCCAGCATGAAGATGAATTCTTCATGAAATGATTCAGGCATCATTCAAGCTGTACTTTGGAGTCTGAGGCCCCTCTATCAGGCTTGTGGGTGGGTAAGAGCTAGAGAACAGTGAAGAGACAGCAGTGAAATGTAATATATTAATGAAATTAATTAATGATTTTTTTTTTTTTTTTTAAGAAGTGTGGAGGTTGGCTACTTTTTCTTGGTATTTATGTAGCACTGATTAACTTGAAGAATGATGTGCAAGTGGGACACACTCTGAAGAATACACTATGAAATTTCTGGTTTTACCTCCCCAGTCAGAACCTTTTCTTTTCTTGCTACTCTTCTATATTGCTGCAGGCTTGTTTTGGTTTTGGTGTTTGTTTGTTTTTTTTTAATTTGGGAATTTTAGCTTATTTCAATAAATTGTTTAAGATCTATGGCAACTGGGGAAGTACTGAAATGATGAATTCACAAGTAAATCAGGTAATCAAGAGGAAAGCCCAAACTTAAGTCAAACTACTTAGCAATCTCTGCAGAGAATGATTTAACCTTACTTAACATTTAACAAGAGCTTCATTTACACAAAAAATTACGCAGTTAAGATGCCAGAGCTCCTCATAAAAATCCCTGAGTCTTCCTGCAAGTCTTGCAGCAAAATCAAAGAATACTAATTTCAACTTTCTTGATCTTTCTAAGGCAAATATTTTGGACTCTTTAGGAAAAACTGAAAACTTATTTAGAAGAGAATACCTCACTTTGTTGAAAAGTTTCTGTGAGCTTTATATTTCCTTTGAAAATAAAAGTTTCCATTGAAAACGTTTAAAGTAAAAGCACAATTTATCCAGTTCTCTTCAGATCCATCAAGGAAAACAAAAAACCTGACATACTCATTAAACCCACTGAATTTCTTTAATCATTTCATAAATTGAATTAAACACCAAAGATTAAACACACATACAGAGAAATCATGTGTGTTTATGTAGAGGCCCTTAGGAGAAGGAGAGGGGAGAGGGCACAGAGCCGTCCATGGTGGAGGTGGTTCAAAAGCAGAGTGGGCTGCTCCTGTGAGGACCCCAGTGCTCACACACACCTTGCACCAGGTGTGTTCAGCATCCTGGTGGACAGTCAGCATTGCCAGTTCTACCCCTCCATGAGGACAGATTGTCATTGAGATAGGTCTGCAGACTTTGAGACAGACTTTGAGAGAGAAATGAAAATATAAAACCGATTTTGGCAGTAGAATTTAAAGTAGAAAAGTTTTAAGTACATAGAGTGGCACATATATTTTCTCTGCCTCAAACTGGAACAAGGCATACTAATGAACACATCTTTTTCTCTTGATGCAACCTTTCACAAGCTCCTTAGGGCACAGAATTTTAATTTCCCATCATATAAAGGTCATTGACAGTGTTAAACAGCAAATAACCTTAAGTAACTACACATGTATTGGCAGATAATTAAGTATTGATCTGCTTTTTAAAATAGTACACCATTTCTCTATGACCTGTTTGATTTTAGAAACCATTATGGGTAGGGCTATTTTTCTAACTATGAACTTACTGCAAGATACAATTATGCTAACAAAACATACATGCCAAAAGTACATCTACAGATTACTTATGCTGCAAAAAAAAACCAAAAAAGAAAGGGCTACTGATCATGTAGTTGTCAGTCTCAAAATAGCCAATAGCCCACTTTTAATACCACCTCCAAATATTTCAGGGAAACTAAGCTATGAACTTGTAGGGTGGGGTGACAGGATAAAGAGGACTGACCCTCTCAAACACTACGTACGAGTCTCAAAAACATAATGTATGTAGTTTTTGCAATGGTGTGTGGGGTTTCATTATTTTTAAGCTGGATTGTCACGTTTGCCTGTCTTTCTACAGCTTACTTTGTACTAACAAAATAGTTGTGTGATCCCATTATGCAGATTCATCACTATCACAGTGAAACATACTCCAAACCCAAAAGAAGTAGGAAAGGAAATTAGTTTGAAGTCATTTTCTGTGAAGAGCTAATGTACAACAAAGGGTGATGTTTTGCACTTTTTTCCCAAACACCTCCAGCAGGACAACATTTCATAAGAAAGGAGCTGTTAATTTCAGGCAAATGTCAAGGTGTACCCAAGGATCAAAATAAATATTCTCTGTTTTGGCAAAAAACAGGTCTCTATAAAAATCCTCGAGGGCAGCTGTCTCCCTTCTGTGCAGCTGAGGCCGAGGTAGCTGTGGGCACAGAGTCAAAAGCCATTGGATGCATTATCCTGCAATACAATTACAACGATTAAACTTATTTTCCCTGTCAATGAGAGGCAGAGAAAAGGAGGATCTTAGAAGCTCGAAATTTCCTTAATCCCATTAAGTGAAGCTCCCTCCTTTAGTCAAAACCAATCACGTCTCTACTGGGATTTTATGATGTAAAGCATCTTAAAGCTTGTTTGTGGATATTTTTTTTTCCCCAATTCCTTCCCGCAAAATAAAGCTGAAGCACAAAGGCAGGCAGGGCAGTGGCTGCCCAGCCAGCTGGACAGGAGGCATGGCAGGAAGTCCAGTAAATGCTTCTAAAGTGAGTTAAGGTTTGTTCCTGAAACACTAATCTCCCTTTTTCATTCAGAAATCCTCACAGGATCAGCTTTGCTGACTTGAGGGGGGAAAAAGGAAAACTTTTTCTTCCTGTAAATACTTAAGCAGAAAGGAAATTTCACAGGGGAAAATGATTGTCATAAAGGCCATAAATCTTTAAGAAGCTTAGTAATACAAAGTGTCTGGAGTTAAAGAATCTTTTAATATCACCTTAGAGGAACTAGAGGTCCCAATCCTCAGCCTTCCTGCTCTTAAAGCTACCTTCCCTCTGACACTGAGAGAAAAATGTGGGAATTATTACTTTCTTGCATCGTTGCAAAGAAAAAATAGCCCATGACATTCACATATCTGGCCACACAGGCACCAAACAGTCCCGTAAGTGGCCCCTGAGTGCGTATAAATCCTGCAAGCCCATGTTCTATCAGCACAGACTATACATTCCATATCTTTCCAGCCACCTCTGTTCTCACAATTGGCTAGTGGATGGTATAAACCACAGTCTACATTTTAAAAGGGAAAACAAGGATTTATTTTTTTTTTTTTGCAATGGTCTGGAAAATAATAGCGATTGGTTTAAACGGTAGAAATAAAGTGGGAAATAACATAAGTGAGTGAAATTAACTTTAAAACTTAGTTTGGGTTGCTTTTCTTCACTTCCTTTCACCCACTTTCATTATCAGAAGCTTTGCATTGGGACTAAATTAATTAGAAGTATATTTCTGATCCTGACAAGACATTTAGACTGGACAAGGATGAACAGTATCTTTTTCAGCTTGTGGAATGACAGAATTTGCCACTGCCTGTGAGGTCTCCTTGGTAGGAATAGAAAGGTCAACTGCAAAGGTTTCTTTGACACTGAAATCAGTCATCAGTCTGAATGCTGGGGGAAAAAATGTAGTAAGTTTGGTTCAAGTATTTCCTAAAGGCTAAACCCCACTCCTCTGATAGACCCCAGATTGGAAAGATTCATACATATTCATAGCAATTATTAAAAGATTCCTCCAAAATTCTTCATAAACTGAGAAATCCCAGACATTTTGAAGATATTGAAGTAAATACTTCTTATGCAATTGGGATCTACTACAGTTTAAATTTCCAGAGGTGATAGACTTCCGCAGTTGAATGTCACAGGTCTTAGAGGCTGAAAAAGGCTGTAATTTCTCTCTTATATTTCAGGGTACCTAGAGACCCCAAGAAAAACCATTCCTATTTGTTGTAGCAGATATTTTGCAGAGGACAGTTTTAGTGCTGGGTTATTCTCAGCTTTGAGAGGAAATGGTTCTTCCTTTGGGTTGATCTTATCTTCTGGCCCAGCTATATTTGTTATCTGTTTATGAACCAGTGCTTCTCCTGCAGAGGACAGGGCTGAAGACACTCAGACCGCCTCTCCAGTCCTTCCTTCCAGAGACAAGAGCTGATATTGGCTTCTACAAGCAACACAGTAATTCCATACATCTGGAAGTGGAAGAAGCAAACTCATACCTCTGTGTCTCATTGTTTCCATGGAAATGGTGTCTGAGGAATAGAGTCTGTTCTGTTCCTGTCTTGCTCCAAATAACAGAGCAGGCAATTCTCTGTTGAAATTAAAGATATATCAGATACAGTTCAAAGGTCTGTCCAAGGTCTGGTTCTAGTTTTAAGGGCTTTTTTAAAATAATTTGTATACTTGAAAGGATAGCAGGCATTAAATTCACAGATGACCCCAGGCTGGGAGAAACAACAAGAATAATGGAAAACAGGACAAAAAATCAGAATTATCTAGGCATATTAAAAAGGTGTTCTGATAAGATAAAGATGAAGCACAGTAAAGACAAGGTGCTTAGGTAATCAGGTATAAGCAACTGAACAAATGCAGGATGGAGCATGACTGGCTGGATAGCATTTTGCAGAGGAGAGAGCAGGGAGAATTCCAAGACAAACAGAAGTCATGGACCTAAAATGTCATCTCCTGAGCTGTATAAGCAAAAGCATTGTCTACAAAACATGGAAGTATTTCTTCTCTTATTATAGAGTCCTTAGCAGGAGGATTATATCTGTGGGCAGCATATCAGAGTTGATGTGTTCTTGTTCTGAATTTTAAAACACTGATATGCCTTCCTAGTGCTTCAGGGTGTGCATTGTTCTTCAGACATCCCCAGCTCCTTTAGGGGTGCTCTGACTTTTACTTCTGTCACAGTCATGGCCACGTCATGACTCTATGGTGCTAAAGGCAGATCTCAAGAATGGGACAGGAAAGCAGCTGCAGATTTCTATGTTGCAGCCTCAAAACCCATATCACCTATTAAAATAAAGAGGAAATATAAGAGCAGTTGATATGTTTTTAATAAAGGCAAGAGAGAGTTGAGTCTTAAACATGGGAAATCCCACATTACAAGGGATGTTTGACAACTCCAGTTACTCTGAAAAAGATGTGGATGATCCAGAAGGAGTCCAAAGAGGGCAGGAAGAATGATTAGCTGTCTGGAAAGATTGATGGCCAAAAGGAGGGAAGATTGAGGAAGTAGACAGCCTTAAGCTTCCAACATGTAAAACATTGCTTCTGCAAGAGGGAGGAAGTAGTTGGTTTGCCATGTTCATGTTGGATAGGACAAAAAAAGAAAGGTTTATATGTCACTTAGGGAAATTTAGGTTAAATGTTAGAAAGTGTTTCTGAACAGGCAGAGCAGTGAAGCATAGGAATCATATTCCCTAGGGAATGAATTGGGATGTATGGTCTGGATCACAGGGCTAGCTGAGAACAGGCTGCAGAGACTGAGAATAGTCCAAGGCAGAAAAATAGTAAGAGCAACCTTGCAGAGTCCTTCCAAGCACTGGAAGTCTTCCCAGTACTATTTGTAAGTCTATCAACAGCAGCAGAAAGAGGTAATCAGCTGAGTGGCAATCTTTTTTGAAGTATTGTCTTGAAAAATTCATTAGCTCTTCAGGCAACGGGAAAGCTCCCATAGCATGCTTTGGAAAGTACAAAATTCACCTTTAATAATCCATCCTGCTTTCTTTGAAACATTCTCAGTTAGGAAACAGTCAGCACAAAATAAATTACAAAATTCAAGTCAAAGTTAAGGATTAAATTTTGACTTTTATTATCTGCCTTTCTTTACAGACAGGCATCATCTACAGGATCAGGGAGTGCAGTATTATGCCCTACAACATGGTAAGGAACAGAGGGAGTTTGGTATTTTTTATTGCAGTGTTGATAGCTATATTTTTCTTTAGGCAGTGCCTTGTCCTTGAATCTTTTGTCATGCATTACACAAGAAAAGTAGATTTCACGTTAAATGGATAGGTGTGATAACTAACATTAACACTACATCAAATATATATATATATACACACACAGCAAATACATATTTATTCTCCTACAATATTCATTACTTTGATATGCCCTGAAGGACTATTTGCTACATCTAGTGACTGGAGATACTTTAATTTAGACAGGTAAATTTTCTTCATTCTTTGTAGGGTTAAAAATGCCGTTTGCATGTAAAATCTCATGACTCCACATGGAGGTTCTAGGCCCAGTTTATGAAGAGTTCATGACTCTAAGATTGAAAACCACCAGATTATAGGAATAATATACTCTAATCAAGGTAGAACTGTCATGACTATGGCTAACCTATCATTTTAATTATACTGAATGATTAAACAGCTATATTTAATAACTTCACTAATGACTAAGTCTTATAGTGCAAGACATGGTATGATTTTTCTTTAAGATATTAATTTTATTCTAAGACTTGATTTTTTCTGACATCTATATTGTTTCTGCACTGGCATCTTCATAGTGCAAAATTAATTACATCTGGGCAGTTAAAGTTTCTGAATTCCTTTGTATTTTATTGTATTCTGGTTTTAATATTTGAAGGTACCATGAAAAAATATTTAAATTTCTCACTCTTTCATTGCTCTGTTTCGTTTTGAAGCAATACACATTTTTCCAGGACCTAATAAAGGTGAAACTGTTCATAAAAGATTATTTTTATGATCTTCCATTTTCTGTATTCAGTCACATAAATGTGAAATCATTACCCTGTGGGGATTGTGGTTTTTGTTTGCAGTGGCACCCCAGAGACAGTATAAGGATGCATTTACACAACCATTGCCCTCAGAAATGTCATAGTATCAGGTTTAACTTACTGAGCAATAAATTCTTACCAGCTTTCAAATCCAAAAGGGGCAGCATGGGAATGACTCTTTACATTACGTCTTTAAACATGCATTTCTTATACTTTCTAGGTGATAGAAAAATTACAGTGAAGTAGGGAGGAGGGAAAGGAGAAAGAAAAAGTAATCCAACCCATGTTGGGGAAATGTGAAAAGGTCATTTCTTGTTTCTTGTCTGCTAGCACTGGGGCACACTTTTTTTTGTTTCTCTGCCCGCTTTGTACTAGTGCTTTTGAGATGAGGTAAAGATTCATCCACCTTCATGATGCAGTTCTGTTTCTGGGTGAAGGTAGGACCAAAACCAAAACTGAATAAGAATAAATAATATTGGAAAATGCTTTAAGCCAAGTCTTCTGGATTTCCCCCTCAATTCTCTTTTCTGACACCAGATTCTTCTTCTGACACCAGATACTTGAGGAAAAGGAACAGTTTCCTCACCCTCTTCTCAACTACTAATTCAGCTTCGACTTAACATCTGGTTTTACCTCCATAATAGGTTTTTATGAACAGCCCAAATGACATTGCTCTTTTAGTTCTGATTGTTCAGTTAGTCAGACTTCTTTCTCTCTCCTTCTTCTTAGTCAGTATGACTTAGGAACTGAGAAAGTATTGCTTCTGACGGCATGTGTGAGCCACAAACTAGAAGTGTTAGTATGGCCCCATCATTGCCCAGTTCTGGAGTCATTACATTTAAAATTGTAAGCAGAAGCCTAGCAATATTCAAATATACTCTACTGCTAAACTATGCTTTCTACATCCTAATCATCCATAATATGTATGCACTTATAACTACAGGCTGCTAATTCCCATTGCAGCAACAGGCAAATCTGCAGCCTGGCCAGTGGGTGGCAAACTGGAAATCTGATCCGCCCCTGCTATGTGGCCCCTAGTCTACAATATTTCATATAGTGCTTTCAACATGTCACTCCCATCAGAGGTCCTGCTATAAAGCTTCAGCACTTTACTGCTCAGGAAGGCAGCTCTAATTCACTCATTTGTGGTTCTGATCCAAGACTTCACTTTTTACTCTTTTACTCTCAGTATAGGCCCCAAGATCAATACAGTCCATCACCATGACAAGCACACTGACTCCAGAATGCATAATGCCATATACATCCCTAGGAAGCTCTAAAATATCTGCAGCAGTAAAAACAGATCAAGCCTCAGGGATACAGGTACGCCAGAATCCAGTACATGAATAGGCAGAGGATGTCCCCAGTGCTCCTCCTCTCCATCCTACCTGCCTGGAGGGAGGAGACTAAAACTGGCTCCTTCTTTCCCTTCTCCTCCAGAAAAATGCTGCTGTGACAAAGTCAATGTGGGAGGCAAAGTGGCAAATAACTATGCTGGCAGGATTTCTGAAGTTTGACAATTGCATTAGGTATCTTCCCACTCTTTATAATATTTCTCCTTGCTTCTATCGGTTTGATTACTATATGAAAACCAGCAAAAGCTAAATGATGTGGGAAAAGGAAGTTTAGAATTTTCCTGAAATTCCAGGTGGAAAAAAAGAAATAAAATACAACTTTTCCATCATTTGTAAGAGGCAGATATTTAGCATTTCTCGCTTCCTAGTGTTATAATGTTCTGATACATTAAAAATTCAGTCATCTCCAAAACTGTTACTGGACTGCTCTACAATAAAAATGGTTTAACAGCTGGGTACTGTCCTTGGCCAAGTGCATCAGGTGACAGTGCACCACCACCATCTACTGATCAACTGGCTGTACTACCAACAGAGACCCCCACTCGGACTGATTTGGATTTGCAGATTTTAATTCACACATTAAAATTCTTGTACGGAACCAGAATTTGTCACATTGAATATGCCTGACAAGGAGAGCAAAGACAGCTAAATTTAGGAGTCTGGAAGAACCATCAAACTAAAAAATTTCAAGGAGCAGTTTCCAGCTGCTGCTGGAAAAACTAAATACAGATTATTCAAATAGTATTTTGCTTTGACTTATGAAACATGAAAAAATGGTGATAGTATGGAAGGTAACACATTAATGTTGCACTGAAAGGATTAAATGCTGCTTTCTTTTCCTCCACTTTTACTCATGCTTATAAAAATCATCATCAGTGTTTTGTAAATGATCTCTGAGAACTCTCCCAAGGTGTAAGGCTGCCTATGTCCATTTGAAGGAGTCAGCAATGTAATGCATTGCATTGCATAGGGCACACACTTGGTTCTTCAGCCTAAGCTCAGAACACATCTATTCAGAGGAGCTAAGCTGCTGCTTCTCTGTATGACTTCTTTAATTTGATTATATAAATTAATAATTATTTCATGGCAAGGCATTTTCATAATTATGAAAGCGCTAAATTGATGTCAAATTTCTTAGCTTAAAAGGGATTATTTTGGTTCATATTCTTTATAATGTAAGTGGTTCTTTTTTAACCTTTTAAGTTCTCTGTGTACTTAGACCAGCTATTCACTTTTTAAAGAGGCTGCATAGAATCTCTTTCTGCCTCTGTAGCAAAAGGAATTTTTTTACTGGGAAAGTTATGGACGTTTAAAGCGTGATCTCTCAGCCTTTCTTATGTTATTGAATTTTTTTGTTCTGATACTTCTGTAAACCAAGTTGATGTGAATGAGGATTAGCTTGGCAGATCCAAGTTGTGTAGGAGTGGGAGACTATTAACAAGAATCCTGCTTTGTAGCTTGTGCAGTATCTACACTGTGCAAAGAGATCTATCAAAAATACCCAGTCAGAGCACAGAATTTCACATCTATTCTATCTTGGCGTAAATGTCAGTGCATTGTGTATGAAGACAGACTGGTGCTCAGAGACATCCTTTCCACCTCAAGTCTGCTGCCTTTTGTTAAAGTATTCCATATGGCTTCTTCTTCAATCCACTTATCTTCTTTTGCCTGTGCTGGTGAAGTTGTGCCGACTTACAGCAACAGATAATAAGTCATTATATTCTGTGCTAGTGTTACCTCTGTGTTCAACTTCACCATGTCTGTGCACTAACTTAGATGATCAGTGCTTGAGGCCAGTCATCTTTTATTTATTGCTGAGAGTGCCATGCACACCTCTACACAATGAATAGTGTGATAATAACAACTTACTCCCATTGAACAAGAAATCAGACACTAGGTAATGACCCAGTGGGCTGTCTTGTCTTTGCAGTCAGGGAATTTACAGGTGTTCAGCTGGCCACAGGAGGGCTCTCATATTGTTCCCTGGATTCACCAAGGAATACTATACGAACAAAGATCACATAATTCAGATCAGACAAATTCTCTCTCTTTCCAGATTACACACACAGTTTATGAAAAAATGAAGTTTTTTATAGCTCTTAAACAAAGCCTTTCCATCACGATTAGGGCCAGCTGGGATCACTAGATGTTACAGAATATGAAACCATTGTTCCCAATATTTTTGTAGCCGGAACTTCCTGCAACCACCTTCTCACTTTCCCAGTCCCTAGACTTCATCTTTGTCTGTCTGGTGGTTTCCAATTCTGTTTTCTTTTTTGTGCATTCCCTCATTTTAGTGTCTCTTAATGGCAATAGCAGGGAGGTCATGCTAATTATCCCAGTAGGGTTTATTAGCCTGGACTCCACTCATTGCCGTGCTTTGCTTCTAATGTCATGACTCTATTCTGAAGCACACCTGAGTGACTGGAAAGTAAGAACATGAGCTTTTGTTTTTTCAAGATGTTTTTGCTGAAAGTGTAATGTATGTGTGCCTTTACACAGTATAGTAATTTTTAAAGAATTAAACTAACTCCATAGGCTTTAAAGTGAACAAAGAATGAAAGTCTTTTACTCAGTTAATACTTTCCTTGTGTACATGTATAAATATATGTGCCTACCAGTGGCAAGCATAGATACAATTGTATGCATACATATACGTATTTATGTGTCTTTATATATATCTATGTATCCTTTTACAATATGTACATAAGGATTGAAAAAGAACAGCACTCCACAGTGACATTGCAAACACATAAAGAAATGCTTTTCATGGAGAGGAGATATAAGAAAAGCATGCTTGAATTTTACAATGAATTTTACTTCCATGTTGGTCTTACCGGATTTTCATTTTCAATAGTTTGTGTTTCAGTAGTTTTCAATAGTTTGCATCCACATACATGTGCATGCATGGTTACATGGTTACAACCATGGTTACATAGTTAGGCCTACCATTCAAAGAGTTACAGTTTCCTTTGGTGATCATTTCAGTAGTGTTTATGAAGGCTATGACCAGCCTGAATCCTTCATTTTAATGGGAATTGTGTGTCTAAACATTCCTGCGAACACTGTGTCTGACAGTCAGAGGTACTGAAGTCCTTCAACCCAAAGCCAGCACATCTCAAAAGCAGAATGGCATGCACTAAGCCAGTCTGAAACAGAAGCAGACAAACTCAGGGCACATTTTGACAGCTTCGCTTTTGGGACTAGTCTGAGTCACTCTCGTGCTGAAATAACATCCCTGTGCCAGAACAAATGCAGGGCTTCCTGGGAACCTCTCACTCTCTGCAAGTACGCGATCCTGTTTTTTGTCTACTTTTCTCGGGTCAAACCCACTCATTTTTATCCTAATTTTCTCCAGCTAGATAAAATCACAACATTATAAGACATGAGTAATGAGTTCACCTGTCATCTTCTGGGCTTCCCCAGAAAAGTTTCATTCATTCTGTTTTGGAGAATATAAATAGTACAGTCCTGCCCATCATTTCAGTATTTCATATTACTGTGTTTATCTTGCATGGTACTTACATTCTGTCTTTTCCAGATGATGAGTAATTCAGGCAAAACCACCTGCAGATGCTCCTTCTCTCATTCTTGCTCCCCTCCCTTGGAAATCTGTGGCAGCATTTGATTCAGACAAAGAGTCCTGCAAAACATTGGGAAGAGCAGATTCTTGGATAGCAAATGAGACAACTGCTCTCCTATTTTTTTAATGTCATTTAATAAAATTTTCAGCAAATGTTCAATTCCGGTACATTTGTAATCAACAGCACAGGGGTCAGGTTTAATTAGCAGTCAGGAATTGGGTTCTGTATTTGTGCTTCAGTCAATATGATCTCTTGTACATCAAGGATAATGCAAACTTACCGTGAAACGTATCACAGTTCAAATGACTATTCAGTCATGTCACAGAATACCCTGAGTTGGAAGAGACCCACAAGGATCATCAAGTTCAACTCCTGGCCCTGCACAGGACCAAGAATCACACCACGTGCCTATACCATATCCACATGCTTTGGACAAACACAGGGGTAAAACAAAGTGCAGACAGAGTTCTGTGCACTTCTAATAAGTATACAGGAAAACACAGTGGAAGATATGCGAACCCTGAGCCTGAGAAGTCCTGGCACAAGTGTATAAATATTTACCAGTATGGTAATTAACTTCTTGGCTGAATCTAGATTGCATAAAATGTTTAGTTTCAGTGCACTCAGAAAAGAAAAGCAGTGGACCACAAAAAAAAAAAAAAAAAAAAAAAAAAAAAAAAAAAAAAGGAAGGGTATTTAAATATAATAATGAATTACCTTTCAATTTTTTAGTCTGCAGGTGAATCCCCTTTATTTTTAAGTTTAGCATTTGTATTTTAAACATGTAGAGAAAGAGCTGCTATCTCCTTTTCACTAGAGCAAGGACTAATTTAATTTTCTCTTAAACTCTGGCATAGAGAATACTGTCATCTCTTCTTCCCCTACCCGACAAAAACTCTTCTATTGTTCATCAGTCCGTTGATCTCCTTCCTCCAACAGGTTTCTGATATTGCTTTTCTTACTTCCCTGCCAGATGCAGCTTTGACACTTGGTTTTATGTACAATCTTATTTCCATTGCTTCACCCCACTGTGCTATGCACAGACAATGAGTGCACTCCGGGTCTTCAGGGGCAATCCAAAAACAGCAGGACTGCAATTATCTTTACTTCCAGGGAATGGTGAAATCTTAAGGGTGTTGGGTTTGGCTTTTGGTTATTTCCAAAATGATGGGAGATAGCAGGACAAGGAAAAGGCACAAGTACACCAAGATGCTTCCTGAGACAATGAGCTCTGGGAACCATAAGGCTCAGAATAACAGCAAGTAAATCATCAGAACCATTTGTAAGCATAAATTCATGTGAAAAAAATGAGCAGTTTCCACATGCTCATATCGCAGAATTTAATACTTATTTGTCACGTGAAAAAACATGGTAGCAAACTCTGTGAGCTTGAAGACATTAGTAATGAGCTTGAGTTTAGCAACAGAAGGGAGAAAATGATGTTGAAATGTGCGCCATGTTAATTGTTGTAGGAGGGACAGTGTTTAGCACAAGCTAATTCAAAGCCAGGCCCCTGGGAGCTAAGAAACTAGTTGCATTTGCTGGCACAGCTGTGACTGTCTAAAAGATTACTAAGCCCTGATGGGATGTGTGTGGCAGTCAGATTCAGCAGAACAGTCATTTGAGAAAAATTATATCAATAATTGTCTCAATGCTTTGGTTTTTTTTTAACTAGGTAGTTAAAATTAAAATATTTCCCAAATTACTTCCAGTAAGAACTGGTGGTATAATATGGTGGAATGAATACCTGAAATATTTTAAAAGTAAAGCTTAGATAGAGCCTTGAAAGTTCTACTTTACAGAGGTTCAAGGATTACAATACAATTCTCTGTATTTGCAAATTACCAATAACTGTGAGCTATTTTTAAGCTGCTGCATAATTGCATTTGGAAAAAAACCTGAGCTTTAAAAATGGCAAGTCTCTAGCTCTTATGAAGAAACAATGATTCAAACTATTGCAGCACTGTCTGTTTGAGTCAGCAGGTGTATTGACACCAAACAAAGGTAAGGGGTGAATTCTGATCAGTCAAAAAACTAATTGTGGCAGTAGGTATGTTTAGGATAAAGCAAAGTTTAGAAATATGAACTGGGATAAATGTATGAGATAAAACAAGTGGGAAAAGAAAATGAAAAAAAACCAAGAAAGTGCTGTTCAGAAGTCTGGGTGAGAGGGAAAAATAAACAGGTTTTAAATAATAAGGAAAATGACAAGGTTTTTGAGCAGAATGTCATAATTTCCAATTTAAAACTGATGTACTTGAAGCTAAAGTTTGAAGTAAAAAAAATTGGAGCAGAAAGATGGATGAGATTTTTGGTAAATGGAGGCAGTAGCTGAAACCATGAGAATAAGTGAAGTGTCCTGGGTGACAGGAGGTCTGAGAGCAGAGGTAACAGGCACATGGGAAGAAAGGAAGCCACAGAAAGACACAATTGATTTGGAAACTTCAGAGAAATTTTGTTTCAAAATTCTTAGTAAAATTACGGTTTCTGGGAACAATGTTTGCCAGGTTTGCACTGATTTGTAAAGAGGTTTCATTTTTTTCCCCCCAAAGACTAAAATCTGTACTGAACTTGTAATGACAGATCAAGGCCATTAAGCAAGTCTCTGCTGCTGAACCCAGCCTCTTAAAACTCTCATTTTGACTTCAAGACTCCCTACTAGCCTCTCCTGTGCAACCTTTATGCAATGCTTACAGAGCTTTTTTTTTTTTTATCTCAGCCTGGTCCTATTCTGGCAGCTCCCACAAGATACATATAATTTTATTTAATATAGAAACAGGGCATTAAAAGCTACTTTTGGCTCTAATATTTGTTGAAGCCTCGAGCTGGTCCACATTCAGTTGTCTACCAAGGGATTTAATGTGCAGTCAGGTATGGGGATCTATTTCACACACAACTGTTTCACACTGACTTCCCTACGTGAACAAGTACTTAGATCTTGCTTAGGCAAGCATTTCTTTACCTTATGAGCATGTGTAGGCACTAGTTGACTCATATTAATGGCACAGCATGTGGGAACTTCAGGGTAAAAGCTATTTATGCAAAAGACAGCATTTTGTTTTGGTATCCACATTCAGTATGGCTACAACTAAAACAACAGGAGTACCCAAACACTGCTAGATTTCATCTAAGAATATTAACTAATTGTTTTCTTGGCCATAAAACTTTGCTTTTCTCTTTGAAATATTAAGGAATAAATAGCTTCTATAATTTTCATGTAAAATGTGTAATACCACATAACCTGTAGCTGTCTCAGTTTGTCAGGAGCATTGCAAAATAATCTTCAGGGCTTTGTACTTTGATGTTCACTCTTTTTTTGGTTTAGGTTTAGTTTTGTGTGATCTTCCATATGTAAAGTAACTTCTCCACTGGTAAACAAGAACTCTTCTAAAAATAATAAAAGTACTTCCAAAGCAATTCTCAAATGCACAGACTGATGCTGCCAACCAGAAAGGCTAGATAATAGCCCGATAGAGATATGCCTTTATTACAAACATTTGCACCTCCTGGTTCGATGAATTCACTTGCTATATAGAAAATATTTAACTGTTAATCCATTATAGATTTGTTGTTGGCTGTCCGAGCACTGCTTTCATAACTTACATTTGTCTCTGTGGAAATAATACCACAAGAAATACAGTACTAGAAGTTGTGAGAGAGAACAGAAAAGAACTAATTAGCCCAACTTTTTGCTTAAGTATATTCAATACACCATTCAAAAGTGTCTGAAAACTGAAGAATTAAAAATTGCAAATGTTAACTATAAGCCTAACTGCAAAGGAATCTGTATACTCTGCAAGGCACTCATTGAAAATGTCTGTCTAGTAATGATTGGTACAGAGAGCCTCATTAATAGGTAGTCATGTTGCAAGTATATTAGTATTCATTATGTGAACGGTCAACTGTTTGAAAATGTGTTTGTACAATTTAAAATATAATTTATATTGTTTGTATAGTGTAAAAATGTACTGTGTGTAGCTTCACATAGGAAATGCTGTAGAAAGGAAAAAATTCCCACCTTGGGATAGAAATAGGTCCGACCATCTAGTTTCCACTGCACCTCCAATGCTAGGGGTCAAGTATTTTTTTTGGACAGAAATCACAGAATCACAGAATGGCTGAGGTTGGAAGGAGCTTATGGAAGTCATCTGGTCCACCTTCCTGTTCAGGCAGGGCCACCTAGAGCCAGTAGCTCGGGATTATGTCCAGGTGGCTTTTGAATATCTCTATGGATGGAGACGCCACAATCTCTCTGGGCAGCCTGCGGCAGTGCTCAGTCACCCTCACAATAAAAAAGTGCTTCCTGATGTTCAGAGAGGACCTCCTGTGTTTCATTTTGTGCCCATTGCCTCTGGTCCTGTCACTGGGCACAACTGACACAAACCTAGCTCTTTGGACCCCCCCTTCAGGTATTAATATACATTGATCAGATCCCTTCTGAGCCTTCTCTTCTCCAGATTGACCTGTTCCAGTTCTCTCAGCCTTTCTTGATAGGAGAGATGGTTCAGTCCCTTCATCATCTTCACGACCCTTTATTGGACTCTTCCCATACCTCTCTTGTACTGAGGAGTCCATAAATGGACACAGCACTCCAGGTTTGGTCTCACCAGCACTGAGTAGAGGAGAGGGATCACCTCCCTTGGCCTGCTGGCAATGCTTTGTCTAATGCAGCCCAGGATACCATTCACTGTCTTTGCTGCAAGGGCACACTGCTGGCTCATGCATGACCGGAGTCAGAGCTGAGCTCTCACTACAGCCTGACTTTGGTCATATTATTGTATTAATGTTATTTATTGACACCTCTCCTCTGGTGTTTACTCAGGCTGCAGTAAATTGTCTTCTTTTTTTTTCTTTAAGGGTGTCTAGCCAGTGATTGTCAGCAAACAAGGCATGAAAACGTGACTGGTGTATAACTGATATTTGCTTAAGTTTGAGGAGGATTTGAACTGAGCTCTGAGACATCAACTATCCCATGTGTCACAGAGAGTTTTCATCCAGGAATCAATGGCATTACCAGTATGTCAGTATTAGATACTTCAGTGCTCACTGAAGCAAGGGAGAAAAGATCATTTCAAGAGAAGCTATTTGGAGGAATAGCTCAGCTTCATTACATGAATGGGTGCATTTATGAGAGTGCTACCATACAATCATATAGATAA